TGCTACATTAACTATTTTGTGATGTTGGAATTAGCTGCATTTGAAAACATTATAGAACTGAAGAATTCATACATGGATATATGAAAAAGCAATTCCTGATAAAATACAGACAGGTGTCTGTTCTAGTCAATCAAAATGTAATTTCCCCATAATTATGCACAGAGTGAAAAGAACTTAGGAAATATTTAATATGCAGAGGCTTATCATGATGACTGACAACTACTGTAGGAAATCCACATTTAATTCTCCTACAGAATGCCAATTCAAGACTGAGCTCAGTAAAGGGCTCTGACTCACTTAAGAAATAACAATTTACTCTTCATTAATGAAAGAGCCTATCATATAGCCTAAGAAAATTGTTTCAGTTAGCCTCAAATTAGAAATATTTCAGAAGGAAAATGGCCTACTGAGTGGAGCATTAAAATATTCATGAAAAGAATATCTTCAAAGAGATTAATAATTATAAACGCTGTGCTCAACATATGAATATACAGCTCTCCAAGGAAAAATGTTCTGAAGTCTAGGAAGTGCAAGATTTTCAAGCCGAATAATGACTTCAGGAAATTCAAATGAGATAGTAGACACAAAGCCAAGATCATTCTTGCTAATTAGTAGTTTCCCCTTCCTCCTTCAAGTTTTCCCATTTCAGGAAAAGGTAGCAACTTCACAGTCACTCCAGCTAGACACTTTCCTTCAGTCCCCAACTAAATCGATCACCAAGTACCAAATTCTGCTAATCCTTTTTTGTGAAACCATTCTTTTCTGTCTGTCCCTTTCCCCCTTCCCTGGAGTTCAGACCCATTTCTTTTCCCTAGATCATGACCTGGTTTTCTACTGGGCTCCACTCTTTTGTTCTTGTCTGCTTCCCCCATTTTTCTCCCCTCTTTAACTCCTCCTCGACATTACCACCAAAGTGACCTTAGAAAAATCTGATAGTTACATTCTCTGACTAAAATTCTTCAGCTGTGCCCATTGCCTACAAGGCAGTCCAGTGCCACAGCACAGCATTCAAGAAAGAATGGGCCTTCCTGATACAGCACCCATATCTTAGCTCCATCACTCCCATCACTAGATGGCGGCCATCCATCACCGGACGGTTGCCACTTTAGGCTCTAGTGATAATACTCTGTACTTTTCCTCACCTGCTGATTCCCTCCTCATTGTCGGGGGCACAGCTCAGTGACCTCTCCAGCTTTCTGAACCATTAAGGTAAGCTAAGAGACAGACATCTTCTCACCATGCCCTGACCATATTATAGCATGTATCATGTTTTCCCAACATGCTTTGCAGATGTGTTTGTACCCTCATTAAATTATAAATTCCAAAAGGACAAAAACCATCTCTAAATATCTCTGTGGCCTCCAATACCTTAAACAGGTCTTGAAATAGTGAGTAGTCAAGAAATTAAAATGAAAGGAGCTGCATGATAAGCAGATTATCTGAGCTGAATATGTAATTCAATTAAAACACATTTGGGTTACTGTAAATAATGTGTATCACAAAAAACTAGAAAGCTGTTTTATAGTATGAGCTTAAACTAAAACCACCAATCTGCCATGTTTTGGGCTAAAAGTCTTATTCCAGGTGGTAATTTGTTGAGAAAAATAAATTTTACTTACTTACATCCTATATCATCTCTGGAAGGATTTACATAGTAAGGGAGTAATTCAAGGTGGTCTGAGCTCAAATTCAAAAAAGGGTCTTTTGAAAACTACTATGTAAATACATTTGCTTCTTCTCTATAAAACATTCGATCGTGACAATTCAGAAACTGAATTTTTTTCCCTCTATGAGCTGGTTTTTAAAATACATATTGAAGACTTTCAGCAAAGCAGTGAAAAAAGTCTAGAACACTCCTATGTTTACAAAATAATCACACTAAGCAAAGATGCTCCTTGCCAGACTATATTAGCAAAAGCTTTCTTAAATATTAATACTTTTAAATGCAACCAAAATTTTCACAATGCTTTTAAAGAGCTAAAGTTGAAATAGCAAGGAAGATCAATTTAATTTAAAAAACAGAACAGAAAAAACGACATCCCGGGAAAGCATAACTAGCAATGATTTCATTTATGCCTGTGTATCACTTAACCCTACAGATATCAGAAGTTCACGACTTAGTCCCCACTGAAGCATTAAAATACTGGTTCACTGAATAGGAAAGCATGCAAACATAACATACGTAACAGCAACCAAATACTGAACTTGAACATTTTCACATTTAGCTCTAGTCCTTGGTATTCAAAGTATGCTGTGGGTCAAGAACATCAACATTACCTGGGAACTTGTGAGAAATGCAGACTTTTCAGGCTCCACTCCAGATCACGAGAATCCAAATCTGCATTTTCACAAGATCCCCTGATGATACATCAGCGTATTAAAGCTTGAGAGCACTGTTCTTGGTGACCTCTGAAATTCTCCCATGTAAAGCTCTAATCAAAAAATAAAGAATTCTTGAATAAAGCCTACCTCTAAGTGTAAAACTAAGGATTGATTTTACCACTGCCTTCTGTGTGACTCTGGAGCAAAAGAGTTAAATACTACATTGGTCCTTCATTTGCGATGTGATCATGTGATCCACAGGCTAGCTTTGATACCAGCTCAGGGTACTGAACCAGGTCTTTGCTTCCTCAGCACTAACTCCCACTGCTGCTAAGTGATGGTACTCGGTAAATATGCCTTGAATGAACTGAGCAAAGAAACTTGAATGGACAAGGATATATGAGGGCCACTCTGAACTAATGAATTCATACCATGAGACTGTAACTATGTTCAAGGGTTTGGCTTAACTTTTTTTTTCTTCTCTTTTTTTTTTTTTTTTTTTTTTGAGACGGAGTCTCGCTCTGTCACCCAGGCTGGAGTGCAGTGGCAAGATCTCGGCTCACTGCAAACTCCGCCTCCTCCCGGGTTCATGTCATTCTCCTGCCTCAGCCTCTCAAGTAGTTAGGATTACAGGCGCCCGCCCCAATGCCTGCCTAATTTTTTTGTATTTTTTTAGTAGAGATAGGGTTTCACTGTGCTAGCCAGGATGGGCTCGATCTCCTGACCTCGTGATATGCCCACCTCGGCCTCCCAAAGTGCTGGGATTACAGGCATGAGCCACCGTACCCGGCCTGGCATAACTTTTAACAAGACTTGAGTTAGATATTATTTAAACACCATCATTTTATTACAAATAACAAATCTATCCGAAACTATTATTTAGGATTAAATATGTATTCTTAGATAACTAGAAAAGTGTCAGAGGTGCATGAACCACAGCAACTCCATCTTGAATAGGAGCTGGGTAAAATAAGGCTGAAACCAACTGGGCTACATTCCCAGATGGTTAAGGCATTCTAAGTCACAGGATGAGACTGAAGGTCAACACAAGATACAGGTCATAAAGATCTTGCTGATAAAACAGGCTGCAGTCAAGAAGTCGGCCAAAACCCACCAAAACCAAGATGGCCATGAGAGTGACCTCTCGTCATCCTCACTGTTAACACTCCCACCAGCACCATGACAGTTTACAAACGCCATGGTAACATCAGGAAGTTACCCTATATGATCTAAAAAGGGGAGGCATGAATAATCCACCCCTTGTTTAGCATATCACGAAGAAAGAACCATAAAAATGGGCAACCAGCAGCCCTAGGGGGCTGCTGTCTCTATGGAGCAGCCATTGTTTTATTCCTTCACTTTCTTAATAAGCTTGTTTTCACTTTACAGACTCACCCTGAATTCATTTTTGCGCGAGATCCAAGAACCCTCTCTTGGGGTCTGGATCAGGACCTCTTTCCAGTAACAAAAGGATAAAGCATTCTTGTCTCAGTCCCATGTTTTCTTTTGAGAGCCTAGTGCATGTAGACAGCCGCGAGCCATCTGCTACGTAAAGAGTGAAGCAAAGACACAAAAGACACAGTTCCTGCCCTCAGACAATGGACAGATGAAGTGACTGATGGATCCTGGGTCTGGTCAAATTCAGGTCTGTCAAAGCCAGTAATGGAGCCTCAGAGACGGACAGACAGACTTGTAATGTGTGGACCTAACATAAATCTCCAAAGTCACACAATGTACTATGTTCCTGGAAGACATAATATAAACATAAATTATACTAGAAACAAAGGAGATTTTTAAAATATTTGAGTGTAAATATGACACAGTATAGAACTGGTATGATGCAGTACCTGAATCTTTACAAAAATGTCCTTTTTAAGAAGACCTCATTTTAAAAAGAGCAGGTCTTGATTTAATGCTTCTCCTCTAGGACATCACCAAAAACTCAAAGATGCTGAGTTTGACCAAAGAAAAAGCGGAGGTAAGTCACAAAAGTTGACTCTATTTTCACACTTGGAATATGGCAGCAGAGGTTTGCTCCTACATGACTATATAGCAATGACTAAGCATAATCTGAGATGAAGGAAGCAGAACATGTACATCACAGTGCAAGGCAAAGTTTGAACAGCACACGCACTCATACCAAGAGTGGGTATTCTAGAAATACCAAACCCAAAGATTAGAGATTTCCAAATCCTTATAAAGAACAAACAAACAAACAAAAAACCCTCACCTTAAAGTCAAGTGAAATGTTACTTTTAATCTATATAATATAGAGTTTATACACATTCAAATACAATTACTATTACTGGCTGTAAAGAGAAACAATCCTGCATGGGCCCTGAGCATCCCTGCATATCCCTGCTGGGTGCAAAGAGTGCAAGGTCCTAACCTCTTTTTACCTGGGCCATAGTATCTTGAGAGATGAGATAACATCTTCCATAGGACACACACCTCAGGCTTGTTTACTTCTTGCTCCAACAGCAGTATATTCCCCCAAATTCAATATTCCTCTCCTGCAGTTCAACCTACTGTGCATGCAAGCATCTGCAAGGGGGCCTTTACCATCACCCCAGGGTGATGTCAGCTTACAAAAAGCACAAAACTCAAGACCCTGCACAGTTCTTGACACTGTCACTGGGGGAAAAAATATCCATTTATATTATTAAGATTTATCTTACCGGATCCAGATTCTTAAACAGCAGGATGTCTTTGCAAGCCTCTTGCAATCTATTTCTTTGATCATCAGTTTTTGGATGTATAATCTAAAAGGACACCAGATTTAAAAAACAAAGACATTAGCCAATACCATCTCACTCAAAGAGACTTAAAAAACTAACAAAAATCAGAACCAATGTTAGAAAGAAGAACTGTTAGTGTTCAAGTTCACTTCAGATTGGTGCTGAGATTCACTTTTGGTGACTGGTAATTATGAGCCTACTAAGTAGAGGAACATAATTCACCTTGTGGAGGGGGGAGGTTGGTATCTATTCATCAATATAGCACCGAAATGTTTTTCAAAAGCATATTTTCCCCTAGGTTAGCTAGTTTATTATGTACAGAACTGTGACTGACTAGGAAGACCCCAAAGCTCCCAGCCAGTGGGGACCCGTACAAAAGGACAACAGGTGTCAGCAGCTACAATGAAAATCTGGACTGCCGTCATTCTGTTTCTACTGAGCTTAACACTCTTTCAGGATGTAGTTCTTTCTTTTGAATCTTGATAAGGTCCCTGAAAGCAAGTAAAATGTTTAAATGTATAAGGCACTATACATTTAAATATATTTTTACACATGTGGTATGTACCTGCCCCACAGCAAGCAAGTGATTTTTAGAAGGGAGTAAGCAATCATGCACTGCCACTCCAAGACAGTATGTGTTCCAGAGAAAAAAGAGTCCAAGGAGGCTGGCTGGTGCACTGATTTTACAAGGAACTCAAGGAAACTAGTGTGCTATATTCTCACTAAACTTGTATTCTAGAGGGTGAAGAGTGGCAGAATGCCTTGTGTGTAAGTGTGGCTTGCTATCTCTCAAGTCTCTTTTCACGAGCAGGAGGCTCAACTGACTTGGACCAAAAGGTCCACTCTTTTGTGAACATGAGCAGTTTGTAACTATGAAATGATTTAGAGGGGCAAGGGTAGTCCTAAAAGCAGCAGACAGGGAGTTGGTTTCCTGAAGACCTATACACCACCCTTTCCTGTTCCAATGCTCACTCAAAGAGTGACCACGAGAGCTGATGGGCAGGTGCCCTGCCTCTTCAGGCAGCCGGCCCCACCATCAGAGCTCACAGAATCAGGCAGCAGTGGAGTTTACAGCCACAAACATCAAAAGTCACAATGGGGAATTTAAATCCGCATTTCAAACCATATCAGATGGCTAAAAAATAATGAAAATTATAAGCCTGAAAAGAATTGAGGAAATTTATAGTATCGATACACTATCTATATGTAAACTATTGATATGTAGACCATTTATCTGCATTATGTATAGACTACGTGAAAGAACTACGAGCTAGTGAGAGAAAGGGTCACTGCACTTTCCCCTCTAAGGTAAGGTAGATGTAAACCTTTGTTTACTATCTGCCCAATATTCATCTCAAACTAGAGTCTAAGATGACACACAAACACAGACAAAGCAGATCCCGGGGCCTCCTCATCCACTGCTGCACAAGTAACCTTTACAATTTAGGTATTAACCAAATCACACCAACCAAACTTCACTTCCTCCTACTTCAAATAAGGAAGGCTAACACACTAAAACAAAACAGAAAGTCATTTCTTACTTCACAAAATCCATCCACAACTTCAAACCGAAGCAACTGAGATGTCTGCCTGCTGAGAAGCTCTGTTCTCAGAAAGGATAGCGGGGAGAGTGCATCAGTATCACGTGCCCGCTTTGCTCTGATCAATTTCAGGTCTTTCTCCCCACCCCTTTCAATTCCTATAAGCCTTCACACAGAAATCCAGCTTTTTCCTCTTCTCTCTTCTTCCTGCTACCTCTCTTACCAATGACCACTTGTACCTTTTTTTTTTTTTTTTTTGAGACAGTCTCACTCTGTCGCCCCGGCGCTGGAGTACAATGGTGCGATCTCGACTCACTGCAACCTCCGCCTCCCAGGTTGACGTCATTCTCCTGCCTCAGCCTCCCGAGTAGCTGGGACTACAGGTGCCCGCCACCACACCTAATTTTTTTTTGTATTTTTAGTAGAGACGGGGTTTCACTGTGTTAGCCATGATGGTCTCAATCTCCTGACCTCATGATTTGTCCGGCTCGGCCTCCCAAAGTACTGGGATTATAGGTGTGAGCC